TATAAACACCTTTAAATTTAAAAAAAAACGTCACTGAAAACCTAAACCTCCTATAGTGGTGCCAACCTCATCGACGGCAATGAAATGCTTATCATGGAACTACTGTGGGCTTGGGAACTCATTTGCAGTTCGAGCCCTTTGGCACCTGCTGAAAAGTGAAGCTCCTCATGTGGTTTTTCTCATAAAGACGAAACTACATGCTAGGAAGATGGAACAGATTAAGAGGAAATGTGGTATGCGATCGTGTTATAGTGTGGATGACGATAGAACAAGTGGAGGTCTGGCAATGCTATGGAGGGAGGAGATTAACCTTCAGTAGTTAAGCTTCTCTAAAAACCACATCGATATGGAAGTAAAGGAAATTGATATAACTCGAAAGTGGTAACTTACTGGTTTTTATGGGGACCCGGATATGAAAGGGAGATGGCAGTCATGGGAGATTTTGAGACGATTGGCAGCGCAACACAATCTGCCCTAGGTATTTGTGGGTGATTTCAACGAAATTATGTGGACTCACTAAAAGTCAGGAAACTGCATTAGGCGAGAGAGGCAGATGGAGAATTTTCGAGTTGTGTTGTATGAGGCAGGGCTTGAAGATTTGGGATACAATGGTAAGTGGTATACGTGGGAATAATCCAGCCAACAACGTGAGGAAGAGGATTGATAGGGGTGTGGCCAACCACGGTTGGGAAATGCTACTCCTGCTATACACGGTCACCCATCTCGTCTCTGTTGTCTCCGATCGCAGCCTACTTTAATCAATACCAAGGGAGGCCATAGCTCTAAAAAAAGAAAGGTAAGGAAACAAAGGCACAAGTTCGAGAGTTTCTGGGTTAAAGAGGAAAAATGTGCTGTCGTGGTAAAGGAGGCATGGGAGGGAAGTAGAGGGGACAAGTTGGAAAGGAAATTGGAAAGCACAAATGATTGCTTGATGATTTGGCATAAAAGATACTTATCCAACTTGCATAACAATGTCAGAAAGCTAAAAACAGAGCTCCAACAGCTTAAAGAAGAAGAGCTGAACCAAACAAACTTAAAGTAGATGAAACAAATCCAAGATAAGCTAAATTCGGCAATAGAAAAGGAGGAGCTCTGCTGGGTACAAAGATCATGGGTTGATTGGCTAAAGGAGGGGGACCGCAACATAGCATTTTTCCACGCAAAAGCCAACCAACGCAGGAGGTGTAATGTTATTCAAGGGTTGGAGGATAATAGGGGTGAATGGCAGAAGGAGGAGGAACAAATTAAAATAATTGCCACTAACTACTTTCAACAGCTGTTTCACACTCAAGGGCGCGGAAACATGGAAGAGGTTTTAGAAGCAGTGGATAATCATGTATCCGATGAGATGAACAACCTTCTTCTTACGGAGTTCACATCTGAAGAGATTCGAGTGGCGATAAAACAAATGCATCCTTCAAAAACCCTAGGACCTGACGGTATGTCTGCAATCTTTTACCAGAAATTTTAGAATTTGGTTGGTAATGACGTTATCCAGTATTGTTTTACTTTTCTTAACGGGGAGCGTGATTTGCGGGAGGTCAACCACACCAATATAGTATTGATCCCCAAAACGAAAAACCCAAGGAATACAAAGCAATTTAAACCCATATGTTTGTGTAATGTGCTGTACAAAATCATCCTAAAAGTTTTAGCGAATCGGCTTAAAAATGTTCTTCTGTACTGTATTAATGAGTCCCAAAGCGCCTTTGTACCAGGGTGACTTATTATTGATAACATCCTGGTTACTTATGAGCTTCTTCATTCTTTAAAACAAAAGAAACATGGGCAAAAGGGATATTTTGCATTAAAACTTGACATGAGTAAAGCCTATGACAGAGTCGAAATGGTATTCTTGGAAAAGATTAGGGGCATAATCCTTCCCTCACGTAGAGGAGCCTATGGACGACTAGAAGGGTATTAAACAAGGGATTAAGATGGAGAGTGGGTAACGGGCAAAAAATCCACATATGGGAGGACAGCTGGCTGCCATCTGCATCGCCATTCAAGGTGCAATCACATAGAGGAGATGAACAGAAATATAGTATGGTCGCCCACCTTATGGACCATCAAAGAAGGTGCTGGAACAAAGACATCATCAGGAGAATGTTTTCGGCGTGGAAAGCAAAAATAATATGCTCAATCCCAATAAGTTTCATTGGCAGTCCTGATATCCTAGTACGGCACCATGACAATAAAGGGGAATATACGGTGAGAAGCGCATATAAACTTATAGTGGAAGAGGAGCAAAACGTAGAGGTGAAACAAATGCAAGATGACTCAGCTGTGAGTTGGAGAAAAATATGGGAGGCAAAGACTCGTCCCAAAGTAAAGAAGATGGTATGGCGAGCAGGCCGAGAGGCTCTACCAACAAAATTAAACCTTAACAAGAGAGGGTTAAATGTCCCTACAGCATGCCCAAGATGTGGCGAGGAGGACGAGTCGGTGATCCATGCATACATGCGAAACTCGTACGCTGTAGGAGTTTGGAGGCATATTGGTCTATACCAGAGTGACTGGAGTAATTGTATTGAAGCTGCGGAATGGATAAAACAAGCATTTTCCAGCTTGAAAAACGAAATTGTTTATGACTGTTGTATGGGGGATCTGGGGAGAACGAAATAAAGAAAAGCATGGATAGCGGTGGAAACCAATACCAATAGTAGCAAACTTCATCCAACAATACAACAAAGAGTTCGGCAGGCAACTGGTGAGAAGAGAATACCAACATATCCTCCCCCAACATTGGACCCGATCGGATGAAGGGGTGGTGAAAGTTAATTTCGATGGTTCGATCGTTCTGCAAGCAGGATCAAACAGGAGGCATAGGAATTATTATCAGAGATCACCAGGGTGAGGCTCTTGGAGCGGCAACTGTTCGATTAAGTGAGGTCAGTAGCCCATTTCAAGCAGAAGCCATCGCAGCAGTGAAAGCTATAAAGTTTGCATAGGACATGGGTTTTGCAAAGGTATGGTTGGAAGGGGATTGTTTGAAAGTGAATAAAAAGCCGCAAATGACTGAACCTGATTACTCAATAGCCCATTTCAAGCAGAAGCCATCGCAGCAGTGAAAGCTATAAAGTTTGCATAGGACATGGGTTTTGCAAAGGTATGGTTGGAAGGGGATTGTTTGACAGTGAATAAAAAGCTGCAAATGACTGAACCTGATTACTCATCTATTGGTACAATCACAGAGGAAGCAAGATGGAGATTAAACAGGTTCCACTCATAAAGATTATGCATTTAGCGAGAACTGGGAATAGGGTAGCATACCAACTTGCATGCTATAGTTCACAAATAGAAAGCGACAAATATTGGGTTGCAGAATATCCTGATGTAATAGCTGAGACACTACATGATGACTGTATCTATCAAGTTGAATACTGAATGGCATTTCCTTTTCAAAAAAAAAAAGTGTAGCATATACCGTGGTCAAGTATTCTTGACAAAGAACATTTGCTTTTTAATTCTTAGGTATTATTATTTCAAGGACATATTATTTAGCTCCATACCTTAGAGTCAAACAGAAAAATCAGAATTAACAATAACTTCTATTTCAAGAGATGAATTTGTTAAATTATGGTTTTATGGAGCAATAGTTTTGGATTATACTCTGTTTTAAAGCTTAAACAAAAAATAAAAAATTACATCAAAACAAAGTATTAAAAAAAAGCAAAAGGGATTCTAAAAATAATATTAAAAAAATCATTCACCTGAATCCCTGGATCCCACGCCGATTACGATATTTGCACTTGATTCACCAATCAACTGTCAGGTCAGGACTGATCCTTGTACTTACTCTAACTACAAATGGGTTTTAGCTTTTTTTTTTTAATGATTAGAAGTAGAAAAAATTGGCTACCCATCCATGGAGGAAGGGATAGATCCGCCTCCACCTTACCAAGAAATCAATGAATTCGGCTACTTACTTTGGCTTGACCCTCCAAAAATTCTCTCCTAATTTTTTTCTTTGTTTTTTGTTTCAAGCTTCTAAAAAAAAACTTTTGCTATTCTGATTTCATTGTACCCTCTTCGCTTTGTAATTTTCTTTCGGTGCCTTCATATTATTTCTCAATTATCAAGAATCAAGAAAACTCCAAAAGCTGTGTCTTTATTTTTAGCCTTTTAATATTGAACAGTGCAATTCTGAAGCTTACTTTCTCTTATTGTTATAGATTTTATTAGGATTAAATCCATAAATTGAGTATAATATAGAGATTAATTGTATAATTTGACGGAGAAAGCAAATGCTCTTTGGCTATCTCCGCGAGTTCATTTGCTAGAACAAAAACTTTTCCAAAAGTGCTTTTAGTTAATATGATGACTTATGCAATTATCATGCAATTGAATTTAGTCTTCCTCTCAAATCCCAAACAGGGAAAGAAAAGAGCAAAAAACCCTGAATCTGGATTTTGTGGAGGCAAGCTAGTTTTTGTCTCCTCTCTTTGAATTTGTCCAAAATCATGACCATATTCATTTTCGTTTGTATCTTGTTCTAATCCTAGTTTAAATTCATTTATAATTTTTATAGTAATCTTTTGCTGTAAGGATATGGGTGCTACCTGCTACATACCAAATAGAATAAATACATATGTACTATATATGTATTAAATACATATATACATATGTACTATATATTAAAATAGAATAATATATATTATAAAATTAAAATAGAATAATTTATGAAACATGGTATTATAGTACAATGTCAAGTTTCCTAATATTTGTAGCACGTACATAATTTCTTCATCAGTATTCATTTTTCAATGAATAAAAAATAAAAAAATAACAAATATTTTTTTAATGAGATTGTAGATATACAAAAAATTATAATTTAATGACAAATAATTTTGTTGATAAAATTAAAAATTTTTAATTTTAGTGATAAGGATTTAAATTTTAATAATTTAAATAATAATATAATATTTTTTATTTTATCCTCCTGTGTACCATCTGTACAAAATTATGATGTCTAACCGCCACATTTTCTACCTCGAAATTGAGCAAACTGGCTGGCTCTCAAATTCCCACCTTTCGCTGCGCCACAAAACGCAACCAGGCCACGCCCCCAGAGGCTCATTAAAAGCCAACCCCACTACCGGCTTCGGTTCTCAATTCTACGATGCACCGTTGGTGTTTATGGAGATAACCTACGCGTCCCCGAGTGCCGGCGACTTAACTTACTCTTCCTCCACCTCTTCCGGATCATCCATTATGCCTGCCCGACCCGTTAAAATCATCCCGCTCCAGCACGCCGACACGACGTCGTATGTTAGCTCGGGTGGTGTTTATTCTTCTTCTTCGTCTTGGTCTAATTCTTTGTTTTCTGGATGGTGCCAAAAGATCAAGCGGATGACGTTTATTGATTGGATTGAGATGTTTCTTCCTTGTTGCCGTTGGATTCGGACGTACAGATGGCGGGAGTATTTCCAGGTTGATCTCATGGCTGGTACCACCGTTGGTATCATGCTTGTTCCGCAGGTGATTCCTTCTCCCGACCACCCAAAAAAAGGACCAAAAAAAAAAAGGCCCGTTTCAAAACATGGAAAAGAAAAGAAGACAGAAATGGTCTTTAAACTTGTTTGTTTGGTTACTATGAAAATGAAAAGGAAAATGCAAGAAACGACAAGAAAAATGGAATTACGACCGTTAATAATATTTAGTTGATTTTTTTGGTACCGTCAATTTAGCTTAGTAACGAACTTTTTTTTTTTAAATTTTTTTCCGGTTAACGAAATTTTAAAATTTTTTTTCCGGTTCAGTTTTTTTCTTTCTTTCCTTTTTCTTTTGAGGTGACCGGTTCAGTTTCAGAAAGCTAAACCTTGCATTATTATTATTAGTGCTATTTGATTTTTCAAACTAAACGGAGTTTGTTGGCCCACTTAAAAAAAAGGATGTTTATATTCTGCTTGCTTGCCAAGAAAACATGGAAAAGAAACGAGTAGAAGAAAGAAAATTTTAATTATATTATTTTGAATTTATGTCATTTTCTTCAAAAAAGTTGTGAAGCTTAAAGCTTTGGTGAGTTCAGTTAAAACGCACGTGAGATAGCTTTAATTCTTTGTTGAATTTTATTTTTATTTTTCTATAATTTTGGCAACCAAACAGATTTTTTAGGTTTTGGGTTACCCGTTCGGTTTCCTGCATTTTCTAGGCAGCAAAAAGGACTGTTTTTTCGTTTGTAATTGCGTAGTTTCTATTTGAACTATGCTCATCGCATTTGCATATGGTTCTTAGATTGACCTCGTGGTTAAATCAGAACACATTACAGATTCTGATTGGTTGAATAATTTGATTGGATAATTGGACTGATTTGATTTCTAAATGGGCGGTTATTGCCAGATTACATAACAGTAAAAAGAGGAAAAGGATTTACTCCAGTCACTGTTTTAAAATGGGTATTTTCTTTAAGTTACCAAAATATATCAAAGTGAAAGGATCAGATTCTGCTTTAGCTTGATTTGTCTGTTCTCATTGTATTTGGTAGTACCGAAAGCCTTGGATTCTAAATTCATGGTTTTGGCAGTTTCTTATTTAAAAATGATTTTGAGGTTCCAGGAATTGATATGGTATCTATTTTTGTGGTACAAATTATGTCCTTTTTTTTGCTTATTTATGAATTCCTGGACTCAATTTTTCTTTTTGAGATTTATTCAACTGTTTGTTAAAGTTATCAAGTGGTATATGAATTTATATGATTTGGGCTTTTGACTGTTTCTTGTTTTCTGTCACTAGGCAATGTCATATGCAAAATTAGCTGGACTTGAACCAATATATGGGCTATGTAAGTTACTATAAAATCAAATTCAATTGGATTCTGTTTATACAATATGAAGTTTGTTATGAAATAATGGAATACTTTTACAACTCAACTTCACACGTAATCGAGTTTTTTTTCATGGTAAAAGAGTACAAAAAGGGATGAACAATTTACAACTCAACTTCACACACTTAATTTGTTAGAAGGATGGAGTTTTTAAAATTTTTACTATCCAAGTTTTATCTGATAGCATGTCAACTCCAACACGGTACTCAAACAGAGATATGCATCTTCAATGTATGATAAATTCTTGAATTGAAAACTTCATTGTTGCTATTGTTGGATCTCTATACCCATCTTTGGCTTTTTTTATTATTTTGCAGTGTCATATGACAGCTGATTGCTGTCTTCTCAAACTTTGCCCCTTAGATCTCAATTCATTTAACTTTTTTACTAATAATTTTTATTTTGCATCTTGTTCTCTTGGAATGCAATGTGGTTTTGGCAAGGCAGACTCTGGATTTGTGCCAATATTTATCTATGTCATATTTGGGTCATCTCGGCAGCTGGCAATTGGTCCGGTTGCATTGGTTTCCCTCCTGGTCTCCAATATGTTAAGTGGCATTGCTGATTCAATAGATGCATTATACACAGAACTTGCTATATTGTTGGCACTGATGGTTGGAATCCTGGAATGCATGATGGGGCTTTTGAGGTAGCACTATCTTTTTTGTCATCTAAAATTTGCTTTTGCTTTCGCATGTGCGAATGACTGATAATATATGTTTCATGCAACTATGTGTGTCTATTCTTCCCAGCTGTCTCAATAGTTATCAACCGGCTGAATATTTGGACTGAAAGTTTGCTTTTCTTAGAAAAACCATCACCAAACACCAACATGTTGAAATGTTGAAACTTGAGAGTCCTAATATCCTATTTTGAGAACATAAAATGCCCTTGGCAAATGTTTTACTATTTTACAGTTTTCAAAAATTAATTGAGGGTAAACTTAGAGTCATCGGAAAATCAACTTCAAATGGTTATTATAGCTTTGTTCTGATATGGACAAGGTCAAGATGAATTACCACGTTTTAACCAAGTAATTCACATGTAGCTTATCCTTTTCTCTTGAAGTGTGACAGAACTTGGGAATGGGGGCATAAGCAACTTTGTGGACAATCATACTTTTTTTTATAACTTCAATGAAGTTATGCTGCTTTTATCAAACAATAAAAAGAAGAAGTCGAGAACTATAATCTAGAACCTCTTTCTGCATTATGTTACAATCATCTCTTATATTTCCTTTGCCAATAAACAGTAAATTTTTATCTACTTTGCCCTCTTTTCCAGGCTTGGATGGCTTATTCGTTTCATTAGTCATTCTGTGATTTCTGACTTCACAACAGCTTCAGCCATTGTAATTGCTTTATCTCAAGCAAAGTATTTTTTGGGGTATGAAATTGATCGAAGAAGCGAGGTTGTGCCAATAATCAAGAGCATAATATCTGGAGCTGATGAGGTAGCCTTTGCATGCCCAAGTGGTATTAAATTTACAGTAGTATATCTGTATATTGATACATTGATTAAAGAAGGCATTATCCTCATCACTGGCATTTAAAAGCATGTACTTCTTCAATGTATAATCGACAAATTCATTCCAAACTTCTAAAAATTGCATATATTTTTGCTACTTAATCAAATTTTGGCCACTTCCAAGTTGTATCTTGCAGTGGAAAAAGTTTTGAACTCTTGCCAACTGTGTTCTTCACATGTTAGGAATGACCAATTTTTTCTCTTTCAATTTGAATAGCTACAATTGTTGGTCCTAACCATGGTGACATTATCATAGTTTTTAGATCATAAACTGGGTTTTGGCTTTGACCTTACTTGTTTGATGAACTGTATTTTAATCTTCCTTTGCTCTCTATTGGTTACATTGTTTATTGTGATTGGTGAAACATCCATGTATTTTTTCCTTCAACTTTGGTAAGTTTGTTATACTTTCTGCTACAACTCATTCATTCCTTTGTTTAACCATTGGTGGTGTTTTCGTTTTGTAGTTCTCATGGCCACCTTTTGTAATGGGATCTATAATTCTTGCGATACTTCAGACCATGGAGCATTTGGTACCCAAACTCATTGCCTTGCTCTCTCTCCCCAATCCGCATATATCTCTCTCTTAAAATGTGTGTGTGTGTGTGTGTGTTTTGTAAAATTGTAATAAATTCGATGTTTCATGTGTAGGGAAAATCAAAGAAGCACTTGAGCTTCTTGCGTGCAATGGGTCCCTTGACAGCAGTTCTTCTGGGTACAACTTTTGTCAAGATATATCATCCATCATCCATTACTTTGGTGAGAATGATGCAAATGAACTTGCTTCAGATTCCTGATATTAAATCAGGCAACTTATTCACAAGAGCACTATACTTAGCTTAAATAGCTTAGTCAAATGATAATTGGAGCGTACCTTTACATGAAAAAAAGACATTCTCATGACCACAGCTGATAAAGAATGTTGCACTGTTGATTTAGGTAGGAGATATACCTCAGGGCCTTCCCAGCTTTTCCATTCCTAAAAGCTTTCAGTATGCAAAGTCCTTAATTCCAACTACACTTCTCATAACTGGTGTAGCCGTATTGGTAAGGATTTATATGAATAATTCTGCTAATAGGAATATGCTTTTAGTTAGAGTTGTGATTGCTGCTGGTAATATGTCATTTTTGAATCTTAGGAATCTGTGGGGATTGCCAAAGCATTGGCAGCAAAAAATGGGTATGAGCTGGATTCAAACAAGAGGTATATATTCTGAAAATGAAGCACAACTCCCTCTATACTTGCTGTTGTATCAATTAAACCTTTTCTATGTCAATACATGATTTTCTTCTCTATATGAGATCTCTTTTGCATGTTAACAATTGCCGTACATGCCAGGCCTACCCTGCACGGGATCAAACCATTTAGATTTATACTCCATAAGCTAAATTTTTCTCTGGCTTGTTTTACAGTCATTGATTTCTACTTTTAGAACTAATGAGCCACCTATTTCAACATCTCAAAACTCTCTCTTTCTCTCTCACTCTCCTGTCGTAAATGCTTTCCGTCAACATTCACATTTGAAAATGTTCCTTGCGGTAGATTCAAGTGGTTGTGAAATGTCTTTTTTAGTTGGAACGAATGTAGTTAATGAATGTATTTGTTGTCAGCATATATGATGGATAGTATATAGGTAGATTTTACCATTTGTGAGGGCTACAAGTTCAATAGGTTTCTCAATAGGAATATGATGTCTCAACCGCATAGCTTAGTGCTTAAATTTTTTTACATTTAGGAAAGTTAGTAGGAAGTATCGTGTTTGCCAAATTTTCTCTGAAAGAATGCTGTAATGAATTTTTTTCTGTGTCAACAGTTGTTTGGTCTTGGTGTTGCCAATATCTTTGGTTCATTCTTTTCAGCATACCCCACAACAGTTGAGTTCTTCCTGACTCGATGACTGAAAAATTGAGTCTTGATTCGGTTTTTGATTGTTTCTGTTGCTTCTGTCCAATTATAGTCGTAACAATTTGTGAAATTTTTGTTGCAAACTCAAGTTAATTGAATTTTTTGTTGTTCATGTCATGCAGGTTTCTTCTCCAGATCAGCTGTGAATCATGAGAGTGGGGCAAAAACGGGCTTGTCTGGAATTGTAACAGGAATCATAATGGGTTGTGCTCTGTTGTTCTTGACTCCATTATTTTGCGTACATGCCACAGGTAAGTTCTCAACTTTTTGTGTTTGATACAGGAACATGGACTCTTTTTTTTTTCCTGGATAAATTATTACCATTTATGTGCATATGTTGTTATGCCTTTTTTTTTTTTTTTTCTTCTCACCACTTGAATTTGGTGGTTTATTGGGGATCCATGGACTCAAATGTTAGATTTCCTTGTTTATTGTGTATGGTTCAATTTGATTTTAGTAATATCCCAACTATTTGGAAGAGGTATTATTATGAATGCTGACTATGGGTATCTGCACTTCAACACGTTTGCAGTGTGCTCTGGCTGCTATAGTGATCTCTGCTGTTATAAGTCTGGTAAGTGAGAGACAAGCCTGTGTTGGAACATTTTTAAAACTAGATTATGCCACATTTTATGCTTCAATGGATGTTGGATCTTACAATTTACTGTTTGCAATGCATATCAAATCTACCAGAATAAAAAGAAATTGGTATCCTATAAAGTAATTGATATGTTTAATCAGATCTTTGGTTGTAATTTGTTTTTTCTGCATTTTAATGATTTTAGGTGGATTATGAAGAGGCCTTTTTCTTATGGCATGTAGATAAGAAAGATTTTCTTCTTTGGACCATTACAAGTACTACAACTTTGTTTCTTGGAATTGAGATTGGTGTCCTTATTGGGGTAAGCATTTAGAAATATCTGCACTAGCATGCATGGATTTTTTATGCCGATCAACATTATGTTTTTCAGCATTTTTATATTTACATGCCACAAGTATTCATCTATAAGTTATACGTGGAATTTTGCTTCAAAACTTTTCCCTTCTACTTCTTCTATGCTGTACTCATTACTATTGTTATTTTTTTTGGAAGACAATTTGTCAATCAACTCTGATTTTAAGCCCAAAGGTTTAATTTTGCCTTATGACCTTAGTCTCACAGAAGGTATAATTTTTATTTTATTTTGATATTTCATGTAGGCCTTTCACTTGCCTTTGTCATTCACGAATCAGCAAATCCTCATATTGGTAAGTGGATGTAACCAACGCCATGTATTTAATTGTCATATGCTATGTTGCTCTTTTTCTCCTAGCATATATGTTCCCACTTTTTCTGAACTTAGATGATCTGAGATTATTATTTATAACTATCGTCTCTTGTTTACAAAATTGATGATGATAATTTACTTCATTATCTCTATAGCAGTGCTCAATGTCTTAGATTATCAATCAGGATCAACTTCAATATTCCTCCTCACCTTTCCATTCTGCAGAATTATATAATCTGTTGTGAAGTTCTAATTCTTTCTTCCTTTTCCATTTGTCCACTGGGATTTCAAACTGCATGTTGTGGACTTCAGCAATAGATATTTGGATTTTACACTGCACTTTGGTTGAGACTACAAACAATCAGATTTCTGAGCACTTATGCACTGAAAACATAAGGTGTTAGTTCAACTTGGGTAAAAAAATTTGTATTGATTAAAAAGGTTTTCTTGTTTACTCCACCTGGCACTGACAATTGATGCTAGAAGTTCAACATGATACAGCTTTGTCATGAATCACATTTGGCTTAATGTTTAAATTATTCACAACGTGCTTATACCTTGATCTGCCAAATATATAACAAAATGGGATATATACTGCAGCTGTCTTGGGGCGTCTTCCTGGCACCACTGTTTATAGGAACATTCAGCAGTATCCAGAAGCATACACTTACAATGGAATTGTGATTGTTCGTATTGATGCTCCTATCTATTTTGCAAACATAAGTTTCATTAAAGACAGGTGAAGAATCATGCTTTCCTCAGTAAATAAGCTGCTTTGGTGCCTTACATCTGTGAATTTCCTTTTCCAATTTTGATTTCCAAATTTTAGAAATTAAATTCACATAATATCGATTCCTCTGTCAGGTTACGAGAGTATGAAGTTGTGGTTGATAAATCGACAAGACATGGACCAGTAGTTGAAAGGATTTATTTTGTGATTTTAGAGATGGCACGTAAGTCTTATTCATTCCATGAACAGTCCTTATCATGTAGTAAGATGATCATTTTGTGCCCTATGTCAGAAAGACTTGCTAATGGTTTTGCAGTATTAAATATATATGGAGTTTCCAATGATGATACGTACCTTTTGCTTCTCCTGCGTAAAGCAAGATTTTGTTGAGATTGCTGTTTCTTATAAGCCAAATGTTACTTTGATTCAACTGCAGCTGTTACATACATAGATTCTAGTGCTGTCCAAGCTCCGAAAGACTTGTACCATGAATATAAATCACGGGACATCCAGGTTGAGTACTTTTTTCAACTAAGCCTGATCGTTTTAGACAGACTTGAGCTTTAAGTCAAAGTTTTAAAACTAGAACCTTTTGCAGATAGCCATGTTCAATCCAAACCGGGAGGTCCTGTTGACCTTATCAAAATCCGGTGTGGTAGATTTGATTGGTAAGGAGTGGTACTTTGTAAGAGTGCATGATGCAGTCCAAGTTTGCCTCCAGCAAGTTCAAAGCATAAAAGAAACTCCCAAGGCATCAGATCGGGCACCTGAAGAAAACCCAATTTTCTTCCAGAGATAACTGATACAGAGGGGAGGATTTATCAGTTTTAGAGCTAGAGTCAGGTAATAACAAGCCTCCAGTTTCAAAGCAAAGTGACCGTCAATTGGAGCCATTGTTGTTCCGAAAGTCTTGAAATTTGCTGGCATCTGAAGCAAAATATTACGATAATGCCATTTTTTAATAAGGCATTTCTGATATAGATATTGTTCAATTGTTCCGGCCGTAAATGACGATTGTTTATTTGTAACCTATTGGGAAAAAAAAAAAAAAAGAAGGGTTGATTGATTCTTCATAAGTAGGCCTGTTTGTTGTAAAAGGTAATGCCATCAAGCAAGATTAGGACAAAGAACTTCAGAACCTCAATTCTTGTATGTATTGCTGGGGAATATAATTGTACTATTAGTCTGTTACCTCATATGATAGCTGCGTAAATTTGCATCTTCTATCAAGACATTTTTTTTATTATTATTTGTTTTAAAGTACAAACCTCTTGCACCAAAAGGGATGCCACAAAAAATGACAGTTTCTGAAGTGTAGAGTCCATTGTCATTTGGTGTTGTTAGAGTCCCACATTGAGAGAGGAGCAAAAGCCAGACTACGTTGGGCATTATAAATATAAGCTGAGGTGTATCAATGCAATTTGCTTTAAACTAATGAGTAAGGAAAACAAAGCGAGTGGTGAGAGCCACTTGCAGCGCTCAACCTCAAAAGTGCGCAAGAATTTATGGAGGGTTATAGGCTGGCCGAGTGTAGACGCTGTGCTTACTTTGCACAGAACTCGCTTGAGCGGGCCTCCCAAGCAAGCCCCTAATTTGCAATTCAAACTTTTATGCCTTAACTGCAGTGTTGTGAATTTCTAGTCACATATTCTTCTATTTGTATATAAAAAGCGTTCGGAGCCATATAAATTAGTAATCCAATTAAATTTGAAATTTAGTTGGCAACAATGTTTTGTAACGATCAAATATATTATTTCCCCTAATTAAGAAAATACGAGGCGAAAGATGGGTTTTTTTGAATTGTATATTGAAATTTAATTACAACTAACATTATATTAAAAAAATTACTAATAAAATTGATTCCACATTTTTATTTGGTGAAAGGGGAATTTGAATCATGTTTTTTATGCAGGGGAATGGCACAAAAGTTGCTATATGATTTAAAGAAGATTTAATTTATAGTACTAATAATTTGTATCATGGAATTGCTATTACATTTCGAATCTTTTTAGTACATCCTAGTAGAATCAAATGAAAAAAAAAAAAAAAAAAACCTTTCCCTTCTTCCACCCTCTTATTTTTTGTTCCAAAAGATTAAAAAAAAAAAAAAGAGCATGCTGAAGCATTGCTGACTGTAGTGTATGATATAGCTCTCCTTTATCAATTGTTAAGGATAAAAAGGTCGTAGGGCTGAAACATGAAAATTGAATGGGAATGGTGAATTACACCGGCTTTCTTGATTCTGAGCCAATTGGGAAACCACACGTCATGAAGCCCAATCTAAAAGGATATCAAAATCATGCTATGGGGTTTGAGTTTGACATTGGCGGCCAAAACAAGGCTGAAAATGGCAGCATCATTGGTTACATGTGCACCTCTAATTTACCACGAGCTACACATGCTGTCAATCTACATTTCGTAGTTATTGGATAACTCCCTTACCAGACCACGCATGAAAATTGCTTTAATTGGACAACATTTCTTTCTTTTTTCATTTTTCCAAAATCAAATACATTTATACAAAATAGGCAAATCCCAAATTGATGAATTTTATCTTTTCTAATGATACCATGTACTAGTTAGAACTTGATATTAGTTCAAATCTTTAAATGAAAAAAAAAGGTTAATTTATGAAATGAAAGAGGGATTATTTTTAGTCCAAAGATAATAGGAATAAAAAATATAAAAAAATGAGATGACATATTTTGGATGGAAGAAAATTTGGATATATATACACAGAGAATAAGAGTTTGTATCTGAATTTTCTCCTTTTTTTATTTTTTTATTTTTTTTTAGCTTTTAGTGATGGGTTATTGTTAAGACTTTTTTTTAGTGCATTGCATTTAGGCATGTATTTGAATTGAAGAAAATATCTTAGGGAAGGCGAAGAAAAGGTCTCATTTTCTTTCAGTATTTATTCTATTGTTGGTTTGTTTATTTTGTCAAGAAAAGAATATATATGATGATGAACCAGAGAAGAAAAAAGACAAAGCTGTCAATAATATCAGAACAGGACAGTGGTTCCTGATACACCAAAAGGAGAAGTATTTCTTTTGAACCTCAGTTAATGCTCTTTTCTTTCTATTCTGGTTTGAGTCTAGAATTTTAGCACAATTGGCTGGCCATGATTTTGAGTTTGATTTCCTAGGCTGCTTGCATTTAGATACATGCAGCTTTATTATTCCTAAAATCTTATATATCAGAATATTATTCCTGGTTTTTGAGTCTATTGTTGTTTATTTATTTTTCATGTTGTCCTATACAATACTATTGACGTACTTCAACATTATTTGATATTTATTTTTTCGGTACCTATGTTAGTGATTAGAAATTAATCATAATAATTTCAAATACCGAAAAAATGTTCAACAGAGATTTGAGAGGTTCGAACTTTTGACTTCTATATATATATTTTTAAAAATGATTACAATCCTTATGTCAAGTCAGGGTTTGTTTTATTCATTGCATTTTGATACTTAAGTTTTAACTAAGTTTGCATATAAGAGAATATTACCTAGCTAAAGTCTATTCTTGGATTTTTTTAAGGTGAGAAGTTCGAATTTTTGACGTTTATTTTTTAATTGTTCCAAACAAGTTATATACTTTTTTCTTCTACTATATTGAAGGCCTAGTGGTCTAATAAACCTGATATAATGCGATATTCTTGATTTGAGTAAGTAATTGGTTTTCATGCAAGTAAGTTATTGGAGCAAATATTGATCCTGGAAAAGTAACATTGGATTGAGTCTCATCAGAGTGTCACAACAGAAGGAATAAAGCTATCAATTAAAAGTAACAGAAAGTCATTATAAGATCCTGGAATTGGTATAGAGGCCGGCCTGGTTTTTGCATGAAGGTGATTATGAGGGTGCAATGGATGCATATATTTTCTGCTCTTTAGACCAAGTATATGAAAGAAACCAAGCTTTCAAATTGTTCTTTCATCAAAGTCAAATCACAGTATGGGCAATTTTTGTATGCTTTCAGAAAAAATCATAGATGTTTGATTAAACATATTACCTGGAAATACATGGGAAAATATTGGAAAACATTGCTTTCCTTTGATGATTCAGCTTGGGGCTTGTTGTGAAAGGGGTGTAGCTAGCCACGGGAGAGATCATTTAGGCACTGTTGAAGGGTTCCAACTGGGTTTGTTCTGTTGGGTTTGTCCGTTTGGAGGAATTCTCGAGGTTTAGGACCCACTTTTCACGTGGAGGGGGATTGCCTAGTGGCAATCCTAGCAGACAAAGAACTAGTCATTTCCAAATCCCCTCTAATCACCTCTCAGCCAATTATCATCTATCTCCCACGTGGGACTCCTGGCCCCATCCCCACCCCCCCCCCCCCCCTCTCTTGGTTGTTATATTCATTTATTCTCTTCTGCACCCCCCTGACCCCTAACTTTGCTGCATTAGATTGCACCAGGATCTCACTTCCCTAATCAGCAAATTACTACTTTCCCATTCTCTTTTTGGAGTTAATTTCACACACACATACACAAAAAGAGTTTGGTTCTTCAGGATCAAGTATCAGAATAATCATGGGCGATTCTTCTGCATCATATATACATATGGTGATTTACACTATAATTTGCTATGCTATTAGATTTTATAACTATTTAAGTCTATTTATACTTTTATAAGTAACATATTTTTGATGTGGTTTATAACAGGTGCAGCATCTGATAGAAAAGTGTTTGATCTTCAACATGACAAAAGAAGAGTGCATGGAAGCACTCTCCAAGCATGCCAACATCAAACCTGTCATCACTTCCACTGGTAAAATTAAATTATTTTTTCTTTTCCAACTCGTTCTTTTTCAATCCCCCCGCATGCAAAAAAATAAAAATAAAAATCACGCGCGCTTACATATAGAAAAAACATGCACGAAGAGAGTTGTAGGCTGATTTGAAACAAACCCTGATCAGGAGGCATCAAAACCTCTCTCAAACCTGATTTGCAGGTTTTGTCTTTGCTTATTTCATGATCTTCAATAAGATTCTGATTCAGCTATAGCCATCCTTATACAAAGATATAGCTTGGTGAATTTGATTTCGAAAAAAAACACTGTCGAGTGTCGATCCATTAAGAATTCTGCTTGAGCTGGGGGCGGGGGGGGGGGGGGGGGTTGGGGGGTTCATTTTTTCTTCTGAATGTAGACCTATCGGCCCAACAACAAGTCAACCTCTCTGATCTTATAGCCTAGTAAGCTAGACTATAAGTTGAACCTTTCATAGGGTTCTGTTTTAGCTTCTGCTTCCAGCTCATACCATTATTATCACCCGAGACAACCTTAACATGATCAAGTACTATATATATAAATACATATATATATATATATATGCTTTTTGGATATGACAATTTCACATGCCTACTCAGGCTTCAGGACTTGATCAAATTAAGGTTGTCTCGGGTGATAGCTTTGACTCTTTTACCGTCTCATCATGATCCTTAATCACTTTTGAATGTTGATCAACCAATTATTACAACCCCACTAAAACTATTCAGGTTCTAAAATTTCAACATCCCTTTACAGAGTTAGAGCTTCCAATGCTTTTACTTCTTCAACCGTGCATCTTGAACATGCAATTATGAATGAGCTGATCTTGAAGAATTTGTTGGTTCTTTTTTCCATCTATTTTCTCCTGGGTTTTAACGTCATATGATCATGATTTTATGTAACAAGAAATACGTTAATTATGCGCAGTTTGGAATGAACTTGAAAAGGAAAACAAGGAATTCTTTGAAGCCTACGCACAATCTCAAAGCAAACAAGACCGAATGTCAGAGGAAGAGACAAGTCAAATGATCCAGAGGATGATCTCGGATTCCTCTAAAGACGCCGACGAATAATATAATATTGCCAATCGAAAACGATCTCTCCTTGGTGTTCTGCTTCGTGGTAGCCCTCCTTCTCTCTTCCACGTCCAGCCAAACATATAACACCAAAATTGAAATTATTTTATTTTGATTATCAATGGTCCCTTCTCCAAATAAAATCTAGGCTACCCTAAATACAATAACCAATAATTATATGCCATGTCAAAATTTCAAGGATTAAAATACAATGGGTATTCTTGTAATTTCATTTTAACATGATGTACTTATGTGTTGAATGATGATCGGATAGATCATCATTATATTTATTATATATGTATATGAAGCTGAAGATTGTCGTTCGATATGTTTTATTCTATGTAAATAGGAGGGGATGATAGTTATGATTCTTATGTTAAAAAAAAATAGAGGCAACATCTGAAAATCTGCGTCATCCTTTGTCTTTGCATAAAATTTTTGGCTTTGCTTTGTCTGATATTATTGGTAGACTATACATGGCTGGTTGTGGCATTTTTTTTGTTATTACTGTTATTATTGTGGATTAATAAATAGAGTAAAATTAAAAACAGTGGGGACTCATAGAACTTAGCCTTTAGCAGCCTGGTCAGAGATAGTCCTGGAGAAGCCGGAAGTCTGAATTAATCGAGTGCTTATCGGTGTATTCACTTCAATTGGATTTTGTTTTTTTTTTTTTTTTTTTTTTTCTGGGCATTCAAAATGAATGGGAAAGTCGAGAGTTTTTAACACTTGAAACAGGAACTATGGCATGGCTGTGGGTGGGTTCTGGTTGGAGCTATATCCACCTTCATGTGCATATGAACCTAACGCTCGAGTCTCTCGAGCGCATTTTGAAATACATTGTCCTCCTGTAAGTATTTTGATGATCAAATAAGTATTAGTTAATTATCCAGAAATAAAGGAAAAATAAACAACAAAATATATAAAAGAATTGGCCGACAAGAAATAATGTTGAAAGTCTTCAATTTTTACTTGGACCACACCTAAGAAGGCAAAATCCCACCCTTTGGCCCAGCTTCCAAATAATGCCGTGTATCCTTCAAATTGTTGTTCTGCTACTAGACTTGCATTTACTTGTTAAACTCGTTCTCTGCTAAGCTAAGTTTTAAGATCTGCCTAGTAGGCCAGTGACCTTATCTTTCCATGATTCCATCATTGTTTCGACAAAAATCTCCCTCCCAACAAGCCCACCCCTCCGTACACAATAAGAAGAAGAAAAGAACAAGACATCTATCTGTAACCACCATTCAACATCAGACCAAAATTTACTAATTAATGGTAGATTGGATACTGTTCTTATAGATCAATGCATTTACACCAACCAGTGTTCATCTGGTTTTACATGAAGTTTCAACCACTTCATAGTTCATACTTTAGAGTTTAAAAACCTTATAGTTTTGAACTAATTCAGGCATTGACCTTTGGCGCCCATCCTGCAATCACTTGTTCCTTGGCAGCCTGCGTTTTCACAAAGTACTCCCGAGAGAAAATCGACTGCAATGTAAGATACAGGAATTATATTTGACCGTTAATTGAGAAAAAAGTTTAATTTTCTTCTATCCAGAGTCAATATTAGATGAACACAGGCCAGCATACACACATCTAAAGATACACAATTAGCAACAAAGGAGAGAGATTGATTCTGAAATTTTGTCAAAGAAAACTTGAAAATATTCATTCATAAGTAAAATGTCAGGACAAAGATTTGAAAGCATTTGGTTTCTCATACTTGGATAAGAGAGTCAAAACCAATAAAAAAATAAAAAGAAAAAAAAAAAGCCCAGCAGTTTGGTCTTTCTCTAAGGTGCATTCTTCAAGCTAGTGAAAATCTTCACACAATGAAATTAATGCTTACATGCCCTATCTAGGTGTGCATTGGCAATGGTCACATACTTGTAATAAAAATAGCAATATACATTCATCATGATTATACAGCCATAATCAAGTATAAATATGTCCAACTCGAGAGCAATATGCTTGATTGCATATAAGTGGAAAAGGGGATTGCCTTTAAGGTTATCCAGAGAACCAAACTAAAGTTAGAATCAGAGCCAGAAAATCAGTCATGGATAAGTGTATTTCTAGAACAAGCACCCTTTCAGAAAACAAGTGCAGAAGCCGTTACAGGTGAAAGATGCCAAATAAGAGAGGTAAAACAGAACCTGGAAGAACATGAAGCCCAAAAATTAAGGGCTTTCAGTGGCTATACCTCCTGCTACAATATGCAACACCAAGTCCTCTATATAAAAACTCTTAATGGCTACTGAAGAAACTAGTGAAGGATATAATACGCCACCTAGCTATCATCACTGATTTATCATGATGATCCATAAATACAAGCATAACATAACTTTCATTATTCTCATTGCACAACATGAGCCACAAAGTCTTACCAGCTTCTAGAAAGGAGACAGCAAAAGTTCTTTCCTTTTCTTTTAAAGAAGGTGGGAGTGTGAGACTCAGAGGTCATGATAGAAAAGCTTGATTTTGGAAAACCCTCAAAATCATGAATTTACATTCAAAAATAGTTTGTATTCTATTATATTGAGCTGTAAGAAACATAATTATGTTCTTTCGCAATGTGTACAGTCATTGAGGTATGATCATCCCACAGTCTAGTGTAGCTACCTTATAACATACTGCATTACTCATAATTGTGGGTGTTATAATACAAAAAAGATTCAAATTAGTATACTAATCAAGATAAAATCATAACCAATGTGATACAAGAAAAGACAAAAACCAATAAAAAGCAACAAAACAAGCTTCCTAAGAAAAGGTTGTCCTATTTGATGGAACATACATGACAAATGAGCTCCACTCATTAAACTGTTAAAATCACTAATATTTTTTAAAAAAGAAAGCAGTAAATTACAGAAAAAATATTAATTGATGGTATAGCAGCTGCATACCTTCATGTAATTGTGGACATAAGTCAAGCTTTCTGGAATAGTCCACTTCTTAAAATGGCCAAGAGCAATCTCAAGATGGTAGAGTTTTGGTCCCAAACCTAAATCAACAGCAGTAATATTTTCCCCAGCAATGAATGGACCCTGATACATACAATAAATTAGGATAAACTTACAAGGTAAAAGATACAAAATAAAATCATGAACCTACGCACAAAGGTACGTCCACTTTATTATCAATTACCTGTCCTTTAAGATGCTCATCCAATGCCTTCAGTTCATTAAGCAAAGCCTGCTCAGATCCATCATTTGCATCCTTGCTCTTCAAAAATGTGATGAAAGTTCCAAATATTTTTGATCCACTGCAGTCACCCAGTGAATAAAAATTAAAAATCAATTGAAAGATTTCAAGAACCAAATGCTTAGTAACCTTTTCTAATAAATAAATAAAAGATTCCTATCAACAAAACCACTCCATTTATTTTTAAAACCAAGGATTGAACAAATTTCGTCTAAGATAATACAAGATAAAAAAATACAACAGAAAATCAATTTTGTTCTTTATATTTTCAGAGCAGAAGACAATCAAAATGATCAGAGGTTGTCACAGGTAGTAAAAGTAGCAAGAAGTGTAATAAACAAACATTCTAAACTCAAAATAAAACAGAATGGTATCAATATAACTTCTCAGAAAAATCACAAGCTTATAAGACTTTTAAAGGAAACACAGTACTCAAAGTGACTGACAGACAAATCAAATGAAAGAAAAGGAAAGGAGGCAGCATACAAAGATGCAAATTCAGGTGGTGTTTTCAGAGAAGGCTCAGGGTATTTCTCTTCAAGAATTCCAACAATCACATCAGAGTCAGGCACCCATTTGCCATCAAACTTCACCAATGGTACCTTTCCTTCTGGACTTATCTCCAAGAACCTACCAAAATTAAATTCAATGACAAATCACAAATGTCACAAGCTATTTGCTTAAAAACACGAAACAACCCATTACCACGAATACCCCCCCTCCCTTCAAATTCACACTTTGACAGTCGAATCACAAGTTTACAGCAATCCATTTGCTTAAACACTCCGAACAACCCATCACCACAAAAGCCTCACAATTCACATTTTTGCAAAAAACTTTACATCTTTTACTATATGATGTATACCATTGAGGTTTGTCACTTAAATTGACAAGCTGTAACTTGTAAGGAACCTTCTTTTCCTCCAAAGTAAGAAGAACCCTTTGGCAGAATGGACCTGCAAAACATTAAAAGAAAAAAAAAAAACCCTTCAATCCAAATTCAAAACGCAGAAACAAAATCACCCAAAAAAAGAAAAACATGACTTTTTACAGAGACAAGGAGAAAGAGAGAGAAAGCATACAGTCTCCAAGAATATCAGCGGCACCAGAAGCAGCCTTGACACAGATCTCCAAAGCCATTTTTGCTTGAGAAAGATTTGACAATCAAGAATGAACCTGAGAGAAGAGAGAAGGAGAACTACAAAGAAAGATATTACTAATAAATGGAACTTGGAAGAAGTCGTTGGAAATTATGGCTACATGGAGATAGGTATGGACGGACCTGATTAAAACACCAGGGTCAGTAGGCCCTGGGGCCAACAACAATCGCATATTCTAGCTTTCTAAAAAATGCCTTTTTTTTTTCTGCCTATAGAAACTTCCAACCTTTATCCCATAGCCAAGTGTGAAAAATAAAAGGACATCATGATCATAATGAACATGGTTGTGATTTTTGCCCAAGTTCTTGATACACTTCGGTTTTCCGCAAGAAACGTTGGCCAATCCAAGGCCACATTCGAGAAAAATGTCTTCTCATTCATTCACTATTATTTGATTTCCACTGCTGCTTCATATACATGCAAATTTTAAAAAAAAATAATAAATTCAGCTGAAATTCAGAAAACTTCAGAATTTTCAAGACATTTTTTAATTTTTGGTATGCAAAAGAAGAACGTGGGAGTTAGGAAATTGAGCTGAAATTCAAAAATCAAGTCATTAAATTAAAAACAACAAATTTATGCTTTTATTCAAGCTCAATCCAATTTAAAGTCTTAAATTATTATATTATTAAATAAAAATGTATTTGTATTTTAAATTTAATATGTATGAATTAAACTAAACATAAGTTTTGGGGGGTGGTGGATATAATTCGAGCTTAATTTTGAAAAAAATTAAGTCCAATTAGTTTCAGTTTAAGATCAACTAGAAAAATGCTCATTATTTCAAAAAAAAAAAAAAAAAGAAAACTGCTCATAGGCATTAAAGATGCTGACGGGCTAGATTCAGAATGGTTTATATTTTTAAAATTTAGGCTTGAATTTAGATTTGATCTCCCATTTAAATTATATTTATAATTGAAATTTAAAGAATATTTATATTTTGATATGAAAACCACACGAAAGATCTAGAATCCTGTCCTGCAAGTTGTAGCCGATTGCAGGCACTTATATCAATAGATTCACTTGACTTTTGAATGCAGGAAAACGTTATCAAGGATCATCATCCTTGATATATTACATCAAAGAAACCAAACAACAACGCCCAGAAGAGCAAATACCAAATCAACTAAAATAATGTGGAAAAAGTTGCAAAACTACATAAATACTTAGAGGAAGGTGGTGGAATTAGCGACAAGAAGGCTGGCTGCAGCCAAAAGAAAGCCATTAAGAGCCTAGCACCGTTGGATCTATAAGTTGCACCAGCTTCCTTGTAAACACCTGGCAATAATGACTCGTGTGCTCTCTGCATTACTGCCGCTAGATTCACTAAAACTAATGTTAAAAGCCTCTCACTGCATGGTAAAAATTGTCTTTTTGAACAACGAAAAACAGAGTATTCTCTTCTTTTTTTTTTCTTAACATCCTCTGTTTTTCTCTGCCGAGCTGCACCATCGGTGGCTTTTAATTTTTTGAAGGAAAAATTTTTCATTTTACCATTAGGGGTGTCAGGTGGAAGTCCATCCGGCAGCAGACACAAGGCAGTCGATTGCCACGTGGTAATTTTGCTAATGAAATTGGAAATATGATAAGGTGTTACCAATTACTGAGACAGGCTTCCAGGTCGAAGCAAAGGCATCTCTCTGCGATTAAGGAAAGACGAAGAAGTGTCAATGGAATGAGATTGAGATGAATAGCCAGCACCAGATGAAATTTCTTTTTTCGGATTGGACTCGGCTGGAGTGAGATCGATAGTCGGAAATAGCTGGACTTACTTAAGGGCTTGACTTGCGGTTCCAGGCTTAGATGTCCCAGTTCTGCT